AAAGTTTGAGGCAAAAACTAGAAATAACCAAAATTGCTCACCTGAAAAATTAACAGCATTTAATGAAGATCCTCACACCAAATGTGCACACATGCACCAGGATGCCCGGCACCTGGAGAATTTACTCCACATCACGTAACCTCAGGAACCTTCACATATGCAAGAAAAGCGGACACGTGATCATTCCAATGGTGTCCCAGCTCACAGAGTAAGAGCCATAGATCTCCTCAGGATCTGCCTCTGCTTCCAATGGTGTCCCAGCTCACAGAATAAGAACCAGAAACTTCATCAGGATCTGCTACTGCTCTCACCCTGACTCACTCTTACCTGCTGCCCTGACTAGAGAGCTCTTCTCCAAAATATCCTGCATATATCCAAACAACTCACTCACTTTTTGGTTTCTGCTCAAATGAAAATGGACAGGCATTCCTGCCCTGCCTACAGAAAAGGACTTCCCTCCACTCACATCCTCCCATCCTCTGCACCTCCCTCACCCAGCTTTATTTTTCTACCTATCACAAACCCCCCAGTCATTTTAACTATACCAACTGCGTGCCCGGGGTGCACCACGGGTGCATCTGCAGTGACAGTAAGGACTTCCTGCATTTTGCTCATTACCACTCGCTCAGGAGAATACATCTGGCACTAGGGAGATACCCAATAAACATTCTTTAACTGAATTATGTGATTTGGAGGACAGGCCCAAGAGACTAGCTTGTCAAATGCTACATGGTGAACAGTTCCTTAAACTATCTGCAGTTTAGTTTATCAAAGAAATATGAAAACCCTTCATTAACTTAAAGCTGTTCTGCTTCATGAGAAACTTAAAACATTTACTCTTACTGCATTTAATTCCCTTTAGTTCTATAACAGGAAAGTATAAGCTATTCCAAAATTCTAAGTGAGAATTATGCAAGGCACTCAATAATAAATAAATAATCTCTATGAATTTCTAATCTTAACATTATCCTGCAAATAAACCTACAAAAATACTACTATATGTATCAGTTTTTAAAATATTACGGCTAGGCGCCTGTGGCTCAAGTGGCTAAGGCAGCAGCCACATACACCTAAGGTGGCAGGTTCAAATCCAGCCCAGACCCGCCAAACAACAATGACAGCTGCAACCAAAAAA